CACTGTTTGTTGTGGCCCCCCCCCCCCCCCGGCTCAGCAACTGGTGCCTCCTGGGTTTGCATCAAATCTTCAGATTTGGAATCAAATCAGCATCGAATCTTCAGATTTGGATTCAGCCAAATCGAATCAGGGACAGTGATCTGAATCAACTAATTGAATCACTGTCCCCGATTCGGACAAAATCCAAATCAGATAGGGCTCACTTCACACACCCCTACTTCATGGGGCTACATCAACACAAATTATATGTTCATTATCAGTAGCTTTTCCGTATGTAAATGGCAACTCACATTCATTGCAGATCCTACTGACCACACCTTTAGCTTGGTTTTTGGAAACTGCTTTAACTTAAAATTTGCAATATTTATTAAAAAAATATAGGGTAAAGTCTCTAATTAAATCTGTTGGAGACAGCTACATTCTGAAAAGAAATTGATTAGAATCAATCCAGGTTTTTAACATTTTTGCCCCTAAGGCTAAATCTTGTGGTGTTCAGAGAGGACTGACTCTGACTTGTAAATCTAGAGTAACCCTTACTGTAGTCATCAGGGTTAGTGGGGTAAATCCTGTGTGAGCAAGATTAGAAATAGACCACACTAAATCTTATTAACCTGAGCACTCGTTGCCTTGCACTTTGTCGCCATTTGCTCCTCTGCAACATGCATGTGAAAAAGTCAAGATGGTGGTATCTTTAATGCGATTTTCACTCACTTTGCACTAACATGACAAACAACAGAAGGTGCAGAGAATCAGGCTCATTGTTTTTATCACACAAAAAATTATGTTTCATCTAAATCGCCAATCTTAACTCTGATCCCTCAGTGAGTAATGTTCTTTTGGCAGTAATCTTAAATATAAACACAACACAATACCCTCCTGAAAAGAACCACAGCAATTATATGCAGGCATGTTGATTAGCGTCAATGGCAAATACAGGTAGCATTTTACCCAGTGGGCATGTCTACACGAGATGCTACATCGCTGTAGTGATGAGCTATGTTGCTGTAGCAATGCGCTATGTTGCTGTAGTGATGAGCTATGTTACTGTAGCTTGTTGCTACTGTGCACTAACATTGGAAACGACCCATGCAGCACCAGGACTGCACAGTAACAGCAGTCACTGTGCAGTCATTTAGTACTTGCTTAATCAAGTACTAAATGACTGCAGAGTAACAACGGCACAGTCTGGCGCACATGTAAACGCACCCAGTATTTACTTTTCAGAACAGACTATGTAGCCAGGACTTTTCTCAAGAAGCAGCTGTTCAAAACAGTGCTGCAATATGTTTTTAAAAGAACAACAAAACATTTACATCTTATTTGCTATTTTGAACTGCAAAAAAGCAAAACATTACATTCCAATGGTTCTTTTTTATTGCACCAGGATGCAATACTCTGTATTTTAATATGCAGCGTGTTTAATACATAGCATATGATGATATAAGAAACTGCTTCTGCCAATCGATGAATATTCATCTTATAACAATGGTTCATTTTCTTAAGTTATACAGTATGTAGAACTTAAATCTTTTATGCATGATGCCCCTGATTCTTTTTAGTTCCTCTGCATGTGCTCACCAGGAACAGCCGTAGCAGCCTCTCCCTGCATACCTGAAAGAAAGCAGGGCAGGTTGCCAGCATATCCCCTGGCATTTGCTAGGAGGGGAGTTGCTGTCTGAGATGTAGGCAGCCTTTCTTTCCCCTTGCAGTCCAAGGGCACTTATACAGTAGTATGCTAAACCATAGCCATGTCTGAGTAGTATGACAAAAGGCTGCTTTACCTTGTTTAGTCTGATTCTAGAAAAGCTCAGAAGACAGACCCCAGTGGTTGATTCTCCTCTTTACATTCCCATAGGGGTGTGAAGGGATTTGGGAACTTGTCTGGCTTTGAGGATGAAGAGCTGGAACAATGACTCCTTAGTTCAGTGATCTCTGTTCCAGTCTTTATTGGATGGCCATCTGCACAACCACATATAGTTTGGTTTCAGGATGGTGTTCATCCATCATTTTAATTAGATGAGACTTAGTCTCAGCATGGAGAGCATACGGCTGACCCTTCAGCTGAAAAGATGCAATATGTCAGCTTATACCGTGACTAGCTCTTTATCCTTAACCTGAGGGATCCCTTCCTAATAACAAGATTATCCATTAAATGAACAATTAATATTAAGATAGTTAAGTGTTAATATATATTTACTTCATTGCTTGTCTTATTGCACTTTCTATATACGTCTCTTATAAAGGAAACTTTTATTATAATAAGGGACATGTATGTCTTGTATGTGATGACATTTTGTGTTAGAATATGGAAAATATACTCTATATTAGAAACATCTATTTAAAACTATGTGATATTTTATGCAGAAGTTATTAGGTAGACCTGTTTTGTTTTGTTTTTTCCTCAAGGACTGAAAACAACTGAATTCAAAGCAGACCTCTTTTTTTCCATCGGTATTCGTGAGGTGTTTCACATGTCTCCTTTGGTGGCTCATCTCCTCCTGCTTTTGTCTCTGAATCCATTATTACTAAGTTCTACATATAAGACAATAGAACAGCTCCCTTTTGTAAATGGACATTACTCTGCCTATCTTTCCTCTTGCTTTGTCTGCAGGCGAGTTGATACAGATGGCTCCTCCCGTCCAGACAGTCCACCACTGTTGCTTGATATATGATTTGTTCCATGTTGCCTACCATTTGTGTTTTGCTTCCTGGTTTGTGTGTTAATCCTTTCTGCTTTTCTAGAATGATGTAAACACTGTCTTCTTTTTTTTAAATAAGAAACAAGTGCTCTGCTTCTCTCTGAATTTTGCTCTGTATGTAAATGCCCTCATTCATTTGAGCCAAAACATCTGCCATTGGCTTTGTAGAATGTAAATGATTGCTGGTGTTGACCTTTGCGCACTGTGAATGGATTCCTGAAACCTCAATCATTACTGAAGGTCTTATACACCTGCTGTAAAATGTTATGCTGCATTTCTGAACGTAAATAAATTGAAACAACCAATTGGCTTTTATTATTACTTTCGGGAGGTGCATGTGTGCCTCTCCTGTCTTTCAATGCGTTCTGTGCATGCTGCATTCTTATCTTCTGTTTGGTTTTCTTTTAAACAGCTCAGTCTCTGGCAGTATTGGTAAGGATTTACCATGTGAGTGTCAGAGTTTTGATTATTAGGCAGGGGTGGCATATTTCTGGCTCTGAGACAGGACAGCAGATTCTACCTTAAGTCTAATTTGATGCTGTTCCAGTGGAATGGACCACTGCTGGGCTGTCCTACTAGGAATTTGGGGTAACTTTTTCCAGCAGGCCTTTGGAGGGTGTTGCTTAATACCTCATTAAATACAGCTCCTGTGAACTTTCTAGCTGAGCAGAGGGTCAGTGTGAATCCTCAAGAGTGCAACTGGCCTAAATTGGTATGGTTGCAAACTCTGCCCAGGGTGATTATGTATGTGCAGATGAATAGAAACATCCATCTGAGTTCCCATATTCCTTTTCTGAGTTAGCGACATCTGATTAACTAAACTTGGTACCCAGAGGAGAATAAATGGCTTCTACTGCATAACAAATAGTAAAAGTGCAAATCTAACTAGAGTCTGGGCTTAAGTCCCTGAATCTTTGGCTTTCCTGGGGGAATGGGCCACCCACAGTGGCACTTTGATAGATGAAACAGGAGAAACCAAAGATGGGATGAGCACAGCAGCAATAAGCACATAATCTCCTCATCAGAATTTACACTGTTTGCCATAATCATTGCAGGCATTTTTGAGTAGCTTTAATGGACTGGGGCAATCTTTGTTTTCACACAAACCTTGTACGTCTCATTAGGAGTTTGTTGCATGCCTCTGGTCTAGCTGTCATACACTAAGTGTCCCAGAGTGAGAACTCACTTCCACGCAAGCTGACAAGCTGGTACATTAGTGCTGTAGGCTTCTCATCATGGTGGTCAGCTCATCTCTCCAGCTCCAGATGGCAAAAAGATCCAGCATGTTGCCACTGATTGCTATGTATCATGCTGTAATAGTCTGATTGCTCTTCCTTTGCCCGACCTTGGCATTCTCCCATTTTGGTGTCTCCCTATGACAGAAGGATAGCAGTTTTTATCATAATACCCTTCCCTTTTACAAAACAAAGACTTTCTGCTTTACAAAGGTCTTCAGGCAGCCTGAGCAAAATTTACCTTCAAAGGAGAACCCACTCTAGCAGTACTGAACAGAAGTTAGCATCCAGCATGGTAATCCATGTAATTTTATAATTGTAGTGAAACCTTTCCCCAGAATATAACTTACTGCAAGAAAATTAAGGAAACTTCTAGGGCTACTGATGTTGCATTTGTCCTGGGAGATACCATTTCACCTCAGGGTATCATTCAGACATCAATGCCTGTTGTCCTGGGACACACCCTGAAAAGGTTCATGGGATAAGAAATACTAACAGTTTGCCCAGGACATCACAAACTATGTCTGAACAGTTATCCCAGGATTATGTTATTGAATCAGACAGGAAAATGGTGGCGCATTCAGGGCCTCACTAAGCCCTGATTGGAAGGGCAGTGTGTATACACACCAATCCCAGGACTTTTTTGTTCTGGGACAAACACACACACACAACTTGCCTCGGGACAAATGCAACACCATCTGTTCCTAGTTTATGCAGCAGTCACTATGACCCTAGTTTGTTTGTCCTTATTCCAGAGGATGCGGTACCCTAGTGACAAAAGTGGGGGCTTTATTGATAAACAGCTGATGCCAGTATTTCAACCACTAGTCTTCCTCCCCTTCCCTTCCACCCTCCGCCGTGCACATCCTCGCCCTTTTTACCTTAACCAAGTTTATTCTTGTAGTTTGGGATATGGGCCATTTTAATGTATTTTAATCTTTTTTTTACTTAATTCTCCACCACCCTTCCCCATGAATGTTGGGTTCTTTTTTGTCTTTTATTTAGGCGGCCTCCTCCAGCAGTTCCAGGAAGATCATCCTAACACAAACATTCCATCTCCTTTGTATTAAGCACAAGCCTTTTGGCCAAATGCTGGTTAGTTTGCACTACTCTATTTGTAAATGGAAGATGTTATTTGCAGATGTCAATAAGAAATCTGAATGTAAAGTAAAATAAAAATTCTGTTTGTAAAATAAGTTTCAGTGCACAGTTTTTCTATTAAACCATTTTCTTCTTCCATCAAAAGCCCCTGTGAGCAATTTTTGGACTGTGTTGAACCCCTGCTATCTAAAATAAAGAGGACAGGACATGCTGCTGAGATTCCATCAAAGCTTCTTGGAGATATCACACACTATGAGACTGTAGCGCACCAGAATACAATGATATATCTTTATATGTTTGGACACTTCATAAAAAGAAGAGACTGGCAGCTAATCACAGATTGCAACAAAACCTAATGCAATAAAATGACAAGGGACAGAATTATTACAATCTTTTTTTTTGATGATCCTGTACTATGATGATCAACAAACCAGAACTTTTCCAGCCCTTTTTTTAACTCAGTCCCTGGCCCACCAGTGGACTCTTTGGGTGTGTACAGACGTTCAGGAATGTTAGGGGGAGGTTAGATCAAGTTTAAAATGCCTCCCCAATAAAAGGTAAGTCAGGATGGGGAGACAAGCAGGGAGAGCTTGGGGGGTCAGGGGGTAGATGGGGTCCACAGGGGGGTCAAGGAAGTGGGGGTTAGTGGGTTTTGTGGTAGAATTGGGGGGGGGCAGGCAGCATCCACAGGAGGGATTGGGGAATTGGTGGGTAGGCAGGGTCTGTGGGGGGTGTTGCTGGAGTCCAGAACATTTGGTAGGATCAGGGAGGCTCAAGGTTTCGCACAGCGATAGGGAGCTCTCTTCCCCACCCCCCCATGACCAGAGGCTATTTTTAGCCCCTGGGGCCGAGGGGGCTAAAAGTAGCCTGGTGCCAGGGAGGAAGTGGGGAAAATGCAGCTTTACAGCTAGTGCTGGGCTGGCAGCTGGGCTTTCCTGGCCCCAAGGCTGCGGTAGGAGCTGTACAGAAGTTTGGGACAGTTAGATCAATCTAAAAATGGCCGGCCCAATCTAAGTCAGGTGTATGTTAGAGGCAGGGTTAACTTAGATCAGGTTAACCATTTTTAGACCAATCTAACTGTCCTGAACTTCTGTACAGTTCATACTTAGATTGGCCTAACTAGTGTAACATCTGCACCTGGGTGAACTAAGTTAGCTCTGGTAGCCATTTTTAATGTAATCTAACCTCCCCCTAACCTTCCCTGAATGCCTTTGTGAATGGATCCTCTTGTAGAATCACAGCCATAATGGTTCAATGCATTTATCTGTGGTCTTTTTAATACATCTTGCCCCATGGCAAGTAAGAAATAAAATGTGGATCTTCATGAAAAGATCCTGTGTTTCCCTTCATTGCCAAAAAGCTGCTCAGTTTAGTGAGGAGTTAAAATGTAACCTGAAAGAGGCATTAAAGAAACTGTCTAGGGAAGGTAAATCTGATGTTTCTATTTATTTTTTTTTTCAAATAGAACAACAGGATGACATCTCACAAAATGAATATGCAAACAATGTGTGACTGATTGTGCACAAGTAATAGCTGCAGACCAGAAATGAATTGAGGACACAGAGGTATTTTTTGAGAGATGCAAATACAACATTTATTAAGAGAACAAAAATAATGAAGTAATAATGAACCAAAAAGCGCTCTACATTTTCAGTCCTGCAAAAGCTGCATGTTAAAGTACAAAAAATCTAGACTAAGATTTTTCTTACCAGTACTGGTGTCAGCAAAAGTATAGACAAGGCTCTCATGGCCACCACTTTTCCTCCTGGTGTCAATATTCAGACCTGCTCTGGGCTGGCCCTGATGACAGAGGCTTCAAGCAAGACATGAGGAACTAGGTGAGGCTTGTTTTAACTAGAGCTTCTATCTTCGCTATCTCTAATGGAACTGTACTGATAGTAACAATGGGAAACTTTTGTTGCAATGCCCTAATGTAAACTAGGCTGGGGAACAAAGCAGGGTTTTCATCCTCTGCATTGGTTCAGAAAATAGCCTAAATACCCTGTGTGTACACATCAAACTCATTCATTGTAGCTGAGACCAGTTCTGGTAAAGGTGCTGAACCAGGCTTTGTCTTGCCTGAGCTAGTTTGAAGGGTCTGGTCCTTGTCCACGTTGAGCTTAATTCCCTAGTTGCATCCAAAACCTGTGCCTTGCTTCACCTGCTTCTGTAGCGTTCCTATAACAGTAACCTGTTCTAATCCAGTGCTGAGACCTTTTGCTGCCTGAGAGCTGCTAATTATCCCTCTGCCTTCTCAATTATTTTCAGGTCCTATATTGGCTCAAATGACAAAGAACTGTAGGGAGTGGGTAGGTGTAAACTCAGTGAGAGGGATTTGTTGCTTCTCCTCAAACAAGGCCCTTCTGATCTTGGGAAAAGGGAACAAATAAAGGCAAAAGGGCTTCAGTTTACCTCCTAGGGACAAGTGAAAGAAACAAGTGTGCTGAAATTTGGAGAAGAGCAAAAAGAAACAGGTAAGCATCATTCATAATGGAGGTGCATCACATTTAGGCTGAATGAGAGATTCCAAGAGCTGGGAGACACTCCTCTAGCATCCAGGAGGTGGGAAGGGCTGGTGGTTCCCAAAGGGTGGAAGGAGACAGGGGCACAAATTCCCTTTCCAGCCAGGCAGTTTTCTGTGAACACTGGTACCCCAAGGGCAGAGAGATGGAGGGAGAGTGGAGTTGTAAATTATTTACCTTGCCAAAACTCTTAACTGTGGGACTCACTGTCCCAAGTCATTGAGGTAGAGAACCATGGAGAATTTGGGGGTTACAGAGCTGGCTCTTACAGATTATAGAGCTTGCAGTGATGGGGGCACTTGCCAGGAGGTAGATGTGTATCTATTTGCATGTCTCTGCATGCTATTTAAGTGGTAAATGCTAGGCCTATGCAAAGCAGCTAGTATTCACTTTGGATTCAGATTCGGCTGATTTGAGGGACAGTGATTCAATTCGGTGATTCGAATCACTGTCCCAAATCGATTTGGCCGAATCTGATTTGGAGATTCAGCTCCTGCCAAATCAGCCAAATCTCCGACTCACACAGGCCCCATCCCCTGCCTGCTCTCAAGGGCTGCCCCGTCCACCCCAGCTCCTGGCTCTTTGAAAAAAAGGCCCCTACTCACTAGGTGCTGCCAGGCAGGGGGCAGTCCCTGCTGCCCCCCACTGCCCCATGAGATACGGGGGGCTC